ACAAAGTTTGTATCGAGAAAGAATAAACTTGTTTTAATCAAGAAAGGACTTGTATCGCTGAAGTTTCTCGAAAAGAATTTCTACGGGAAATTAACAAACAAACAGATACGTAACAGTAAGAAGCAAAGACACTTATGCTGAAATTTAAAAGTAAGAATATAAAGAACTTCTACTTAAGTTTGAAAGGTGAGAAATTGCATTCTTGTGAAGGTTGAAAAACGAGAAGGGATTTCTGTTAAACCTTGAAAAGTGAACTAAGAGGAAAAGAAACCTCTACTGAATTGTGTAAAACAGGCTTTTCTACAACACGTTCACGCAAGACAAAGGGAATTCCAACTTTGAATACGCCTATGATTATTCCAAATAAAATTTATGTGGGATTAAAGAATAACATGTGTACCAATGTGTGAGATAACTTCCGCGAGTTTTTAGCAGTTTGTACATGCAACCTTTACCTGAATGAAAGGATTATAACACGTTTACGACCTTTCGACACCCGTTTAACAATCATATTACACTATATGTAGAACACCTGCACGATAACAAATTATTCTATTTTCTCCTTTAAGCCTGATTTTTTATAGTAATGATAGTTTTTATTTAATTAAATAATGCAAATAACATTCAAAAAGTAGACAAATTCCCCAAAATCTCAAAAGTTTTCAAGCTTTCTAACTCTGCAACAAGAGCCGTTACAAATTCATTCAAGCTAGTCGTTAACTTTCTTACGGGAAGGTATTGTTACGATAGCGGAAGTCACGTGACTCTGGTAACACGTGATGAGTTTCTAGAAGGATCGTGAATTGTCCTGGCAACTCTAGTCTTTTCCAGGCGCCTTCTATTTTAGTATATAAGCCCGGCGAATAATTGCAGATAGATAGATATAGAGACAGATAATTGAGTCAAGCGAGCAGTAGGCACCTTAAGTAAAGTGCGTGAATCGCTGTGAATTATAGCGTGTGTTTATAGAAGTACATCTTCTATAAAAAACGAAGTATTTTGTGAACTGAAGCTTTTATTAAGTATCATTCAATATTTGTTAAAAAAGAAGATGACAATGAACAAGATAATTAAATCCTTTACACGAGGAATAAATAAAACAATGCCTTAGAATCAGATAAAAGACCCAACACGACATATTAACTTAAGAGTTTCAAGACAAACACTGAAGTAATTGAAGTGATGAGGAAGCAACGAATAAGTTGCTAGATTATGAATTTTTCGACGTTCGGCTTAAGTAGTAAGAACAATGAGAGCATTCCTTAACCCTGTTACGACAGCGGAGGTCAAGTGACGCTACTGGCGCATTGGCGCTGGTGGCGTGTGCGAGGAGTTTCTCGAATGATCGTGAATCTCCTAGTTTGTTCAGGACGCCCTCTTTTTTTAGTATATAAGCCCGGCAAATAAAAGAAGAGATAGAGATGCAGATAGATTAAAGATAGAGATAATTGAGTCAAGCGAACAGTAGGCACCGTAAGTAAAGTGTCTGAATCACTGTGATTTATAGCGTGTGTTATAAAGGTTAAGTTTAAAGTGACTGTGGAAATTAAGTGTATTACAAAGTTTGTAACGAGAAAGAATAAACTAGTTTTAATTAAGAAAGGTTTGTTTGTTTGTTTTTGAATTTCGCGCAAAGCTACACGAGGGCTATCTGCGCTAGCCGTCCCTAATTTAGCAGTGTAAGACTAGAGGGAAGGCAGCTAGTCATCACCACCCACCGCCAACTCTTGGGCTACTCTTTTACCAACGAATAGTGGGATTGACCGTCACATTAATACGCCCCCACGGCTGAAAGGGCGAGCATGTTTGGTGTGACAGGGATTCGAACCCGCGACCCTCAGATTGCGAGTCGAGTGCCTTAACCACCTGGCCATGCCGGGCCAAATTAAGAAAGGACTTGTACCGCTGAAGTTTCTCGGGAAGAATTTTAAGGGAAATTATCAAACAAGCAGAGGCCCGGCATGGCCAGGTGGTTAGTGCGATCGACTCGCAATCTGCAGGTCGCGGGTTCGAATCCCCGTCACACCAAACATGTTCGCCCTTTCAGCCGTGGGGGCGTATTAATGTGACGGTCAATCCCACTATTCGTTGGTAAAAGAGTAGCCCAAGAGTTGGCGGTGGGTGGTGATGACTAGCTGCCTTCCCTCTAGTCTTACACTGCTAAATTAGGGACGGCTAGCGCAGATAGCCCTCGTGTAGCTTTGCGCGAAATTCAAAAACAAACAATCAAACAAGCATATACGTAACAGTATCTTGTACTGTGAGTGAAATTAACAATATTCTGTTCAGAATACAACGTTATACAATACATCATTTGATAGATGAAAACCTTGACTTTGTACTGGTTATAGATAATATACAACGAAACGTAAGAGAGAAGTATCAAAGAACTCCAGAAAACAATAAAAAGTATGGTTTGTTTGAGCAATAACGATTTTATAGAGAGTATTCACGTTTAATTTTAAAATAGGGATGATGACATGCTTAGAGAAAATGTGTCATGTGGGTCACACTAGTAGAAATTCAGGATTTTTTAAAATATATCCTTGTAGAAATAAGAACTTAAAACTTGTATACTATTAAAATATAGATTGTTAGCTAAGATTTTATGCTATTATAATTGGTGTAACATAAATAAAAAGTAGTTTAATAAAATTTTGAATCGAAGACACTAAAACCTTGTGTCATTCGCAGTAAAGGATACCCGGGGCTATAAGGTTATAACGCTAAAATCCTGATTTCGATAATCCTCGCAGAAACAGTACATGTAGTCCATTGTGAAGCTTTGCGCTTAACAACAAATGAACAAAAATAAATTAATATTAAACTTATGTATAGCTTATAACACGAAAGTGTTCAGGCATTATATTTTCGTGTCTAAAAATGCCAAGTTAAGATACAACACATTAACCAAGAATGTAAAGACAAGCTCTCCAGTTTGATTGTAAGAGTACAATCAATAATTCATTATGAGATTCGTAAATCATTTTCTGATTCTCTGTAACGAATGGCCCACCGGTGGCACAGCGGTAAGGCTGCAGATGGTGGGCACATCACAGATAGCCAGTTGTGCAGCTTTGTGCATAAGTATAAACAAACAAAGAAACTGCAACAAGTAACATGAATGGGTACTGAAGTAGGCACTGCCTGTATCAGCGTTTGTCAAGCATAAATTGTCAACCTTGCATAGCGGCTAACGTGTCCAGAATTTGAATCAGATGATTCATGGTATGGTCCCGTTGCTGTAAAAATGCCCTCTGCACTTTGAGGTTGAAGGTGAGCCATATGAGTGACGGTTAAATCCTTCTATTCAATCAGATAAGAAGCAGCGTGTACATTATAAATTTCTTCTTTACGCTAATAATTAATTTTTATTTTTTAATGCTTATTCCAATTTAAGTTTGAAATTACAACACAGTTAAAAATCAACCAATAATTAGAATTTTGTTAAGTCCAAAATCACTTTTAGAAGATATTATTAGCGTAACATTATGTCGTAGTTTGTTGAACATATCCCGTGTACTTTTAATTACTATACTATTACTACAGTTAATGAGATTGATTTAAAATTTTCTTTTTCCTCACAAAGATAGCCCGGCATGGCCAGGTGGATAAGGCGCTCGA